GAAGAACATGATGCCATGAATTTAAGACATTTTTATTAGCAATGGAGTGATTAGTTATAAAACCATTTAATTTAAAATTTAAGCCTGCAATTGGAGAAAATAACAGTTTAAATCAATTATGGAATAGAATGGTTACAGGTAAAACCTCAAGTGTGAGAAGACTGAAAAGTGACTGTTTTGACTCATCATATCTTTTAAGATTTAGAGGATGTGTGTCTTTGAGGCTTAAGGGTAGTATTCTGACTTGGCAAACTAGAGCAGATGGGCAAAAACTGGAATGAGGATGGAAAATTCTTCTGGATCATGGATTTGTACAAATTAGGAAACTTGGAAGGGCCTGAAGCAGTGGCCATCCCTTTGGATTAAAGCTAGATTCTCTCAAGTTCTCTATGATCCAGCTGAACTCCCTAAAATCCCAATGAGGGTGAAATATCATATTTCACCATTTCTGCTTAGGAATGTCTGTTAATAGGCTCCAGTTTCATCCACCTCATTAGAACTGATTCAAATGCATTCTTTTTAATAGCTGAGTAATATTCCATTGAGTATATGTACCATAGCTTTCTTACCCATTTGTCTGCCGATGGACATCTAGGTTGCTTCCATGTCCTGGCTATTGTAAACAGTTCAGCTGGGGTTTTGAGCCTCTCAGTCTAATTAATAGATAACTAGGTGGTGGGAAGATTAACGTGGAGGAGAAGATCTTGGCTTCTACTTGCCTCGTTCCCATTGGTCAGTTTGTACCTCCCCATTCGACAAACACATTAACACAGAAGTAGGCAAGTTAGTGTCTGCCATCTCATGCTTTAGTCTTTGTCAAAAACAGATTCTATAGTTCTTTGGGGGCAAAGATGTCTCATGCACTTTTATATAACCCTCTTAACTATCAGCATCCTTGATCGCTTTTTTCCCCTGATGGCTCAGACGCTAAAGTGTCTGCCTTCTATATGGGAGACTTGGGTTTGATCCCTGGCTCAGGAAGATCCCCTGGAGAAGGAAATGGCAACCCACTCCAGTACTCTTGCCTAGGAAATCCCCTGGATGGAGGAGCCTGGTAGGACTCCATGGGGTTGTAAAGAGTCGGGCACGACTGAGCAACTTCACTTTTCACTTTCACTATAACTGACATTCAATGTTGTATTATTTTCAGGTGTGCAGTGTAGTAGTTCAACATTTGTATGCATAACACACTGATCATCACGATATGTCTAGTAACCATCTGTCACTATACAAAAATGTTGCAGTACTGTTGACTATATTCCCTATGTTGTGCATGCCTATGACTTACAACTGGAAGTTTATACCTCTTAAATCCCCTTCACTTGTATTGCACAGCCCCTGCCCACCTTCCCTTTGGTGAACATCAGTTTATTCTCTGCATCCATATGTATGTTTCTATTTTGTTTTGCTTGTTTGTTTGTTTTGTTTTATAGATTCCATGTATTAGTGAAATCATATGGTGTTTGTCTTTCTCTTTCTGACTTATTTCCTATGTCTTTCTCTTTCTGACTTAGCATAATGCCCTCTTGGTTCACCCAAGTTGTTGCAGATGCCAAGATTTCATTCTTTTCTTATGACTGAGTAATATATTCAATGTGCCTGTATGTGTTTATACTATTCTCTTTTTTCCTTCCATTCTTCTGTTGATGGACACAGATTGTTTTTGTATCTTGGCTATTTGCTGCAGTGATCATAAGGGTGCATATGTGTGTGTGTGTGTGTAGGCTAAGTAACTTCAGTCATGTCTGACTCTTTGTCACCCTGTGGACTATGGCCCACCAGGCCCCTCTGTTCATGGGATTCTTCAGGCAAGATTACTGGAGTGGGTTGCCATGCCCTCCTCCAGAGGGTCTTCCTGACCCAGGGATCAAGCCCACATTTCTTATTTCTCCTGCACTGGCAGGCGGGTTGTTTTCCACTAGTACCACCTGGAAAGCCCATAAGGGTGCATATATATTTTCAATTGGTATTTTTGTTTTCTATGGATAAATACCCAGATGTGAAATCACTGGGTCATATGGTAGTTCTGTTTTTAATTTTTTGAGAAAACTCCATGCTGTTTTCTGTAGTGGCTGTCCCCGTTTGCATTTGCACCAACAGTGCATGAGGGTTTCCTTTTCTCCATATCCTCACCAATAATTATTTGTTGGTTATTATCAGAGAGACTTTCTGATAGATGTGAGATGATATCTCATTGTGGTTTTGATTTTCATTTCCCTGATGATTAGTGATGCTGAGCTCTTTTCATGTGTCTGTTGATCATCTGTATGCCTTCCTTGATAAAAAGTATCTACTCAGGCCCTCTTCCCATTTCTTAATCAGATTTCTTTTTGTTATTGAGTTGTGTGGATTCTTTGTATATTTTGGATATTAGTCTCTTATCAGATACATGATTTGCAATTATCTTTTCCTGTTCTGTAGGCTGCCTTTTGGTTTTATTGATCATTTCTTTTCCATACAAAAGCTTTTTAGTTTTGATGTATTCCCATTTATTTATTCTTGAATTTGCTTTTAAAATCCACAGGAGTCCTGCAATGTGTGGCCTGAAACCCTTTTTGGCCTATGTGAGTTCAAAGGATGAGATAAAACACTGTCTTGGGGGAAAAAAAAACAAAAACCTACTCTTTCTTAAAAGGGTTAAGTTTTAATAAAATTGAAATTTCTGTTTTAAATTGTTTAGAAATTAGACCTTGTCATTAGGTCTCCAAGTAGGGTGACTTCTAAATACAATGTTTACAATAATATTATTAGTATAGAAACCTGAAACGTGCATCCCAACACAAAAATAGTTTGCTTTCGCTGAGCTCATTTGGGCTAAGTCTCCAAGTATTTCCTTAACACTAGTTGCAGAATACTGAGCTTGGAAGGAATTTTTAGAAAAGGATTATAATTATCATCATCAGTAGCTCCCATTCCATGGTTTGCCTCCAGTTGGCAAGCAGTAAAAGAGCATCTTGTTCAATGCCCTCATGAACTTGGAATATTATCTCCATTGTACAGACAAGGAAACCAAGGTCCAGATAATGGATATAATTTGTCTAAGGACACATATCTCACATACATGCAAGCAGAGCTATCACTTGAAAACCATTGTTTGGGGAAACTTGACCAGTATTCAAGTAGGTGTAGAATTTTTTGCAAGCAGCTACTTGACTAGCTGCTTGTCTAGGGAACTATCAGACACTAATGGCTCCCTTTCATGTGGTGTGTCTTCTTGCCTGATGCTGGATGCTTAGAAAACTGAAACTAAAGAAAGGATCTTGGTGTTTCTAATTCATTTCTTTTCCTCAGCTCTGCTCCTGCCTCCCATTTTACCCCTCTTATAGGAAAATATTCCTATGGTTTTGCTTCAGAAGTTTGTGATGACTACTTGGCAAATAGCCCTGCCAAACTATTCTCGTATTTTAGAGAAATGTTTTCTGAGATGCCTCACAAACTGGCACTTATACTAACTTTAACCTGTACCCGTAAGAGAGGAACTTGATCTGTATTGTCACCACAATGTACTGCACAATCAGAGCCTGATTCACTGTATCACATGAATATTTTGACTGGATGACAGTAGCCATCTGCATTTTCTGAATTTCTTACTGATTTTGGTTTTCGTATTTCATTTTTCAGGTAAAGAAGGGCTATTTTATCCTAAGGAAACTTTGTTAGAGGTTTGGCATGGCTCAAGCACTATAGTGTTTCAATTGCTGAACGTATATAAGTCTTTCATTTTGGGTATGTGTGTCTTTATATTGAATACAGATTCATTTTAACTTGGGAATGTTTATGATACTCTCCAGACTTGACTTCTGTTAGTTTTTCTAAATTAATTAGTAGAGTTCATTATAGAATGATGGGGCCAATCTAGTGACCTCTTTGGGTGCAGTATAGACAGGTGTGTGTGTGTGTGTGTGTGTGTGTGTGTGTGTGAGCGAGAGAGAAAGGGAGAGAGAGAGGGAGTGGGGAGGAGAAGGATACTAAGCATACTTGGGATTTGGAATTTATAAAAATTATTTGTCTCTTTGTTTTCAGATTCACTTAAATTTCTTTCTTATTATAGGAATAATGTATCATTATTTTAATAAATGTAGACGAGCACCCAAAAGAAAAAAAATGACATCTTAATGTTAGTCATTGTGAAGATTGTGGTTTACTTGGTCTCAATTTTGTATGTGTGTTTGTGTATTTGTGTATGCGTGCGTACATTTATACTTATATTTGGTTTGGCAAAATTGAGCCTATGCTATAAATATTCTGGGGATTATATTTTCACATCTATTTATTCATTAAATACCCTTCTGTAATTTTTCCTGATTTTATTTCTTTTTGGCTGTGCTGGGTATTTGTTGCTGCGCGGGCGTCCCTCCACAGTGATTGGGGGCACAGGCCTCTCACTGTGGTGGCTCCTCTCATCGCAGAGCACGGGCTCTAGGGCACCCAAGCTTCCGCAGTTGCAGCGCACGGGCTCAGTAGTTGCGGCTCCTGGGCTCCAGAGCACAGGCTCAGTTGTGGCGCTTGGGCTTAGTTGCTCCGTGGCATGTGGAATCCTACCAGATCAGGGATCAAATTCGTGTCTCCTACATTGGCAGGTGGATTCTTTACCACTGAGTCACTAGGGAAGCTCTATAATATTTTTAATGTTTGTAAGATTTAGGTTTTTATTATACTTTTTCCTTATTCTGTATCTGGAATTTTTCTGGTTGCACTGCATGTGGGATCTTAGTTCCCTGACCGAGGGTTGAACCTGCACCCCCTGCCTTGGAAGTGCAGGGTCTTAACCACTGGACCATCAAGGAAACCTCCTTTTTAATTTGTAATCTGGCAGCAACTGCCAGATAGAAAGAGACTTTTTAAGTTTTGAATTACTCATCGGTCCCCTTCCCCACAATCATCAGGAGTGTGTGTTTTCTGTGGCTTGCTGCCCTGCTCTGTGACCCAGCCCCCACCGGAGAACACTGTGGAACTGTTGGCTGCTGCCAGTTCATCTCCCTTTCCTGTTTCTCTTGCAGGAGACAGAGCATGTGGTATCCAGCCAGTCGGAGTGTCAAGGGAGACCAGGAACAGCAGCTCAGAAGAGTACACACAACCCCACCTCCAGGTGCCAGGAAACTGCGCGAGTTCAACCAAGGTGGGCCCTTTGTTGTCAGAGGTTGCACTGGGCCTGGGATTCCTTTCCCAGACATGGTAGCAGCTGTGCTTGCTACTCCCACACAAGAGGCAAGGCTTTCTCACTTTCGTTGGCATCACTTGAAGTCAGAGAAGCTCTTTAATGGGGCCTAGAAGGAGAATCATTTCTAAGAGAAATACAAATAACCTACTTTCTCTCCCTTCAGTCTGAAGATAACCAGCCTTAAGGCTCAGAGAAGAGTAGAGACCTTCCTGCCCTGAGAAAGAGAAATGCTGATATCATTTTGCCCTTTTTCATTCCTTGCTAGAGATGATTAGCTTTTCTTCAGTGATCATGGTAATTAGTAATAATAGTGTAGGCATCAAGCCAATTGCTTCTCACATATTCTGTCATTTAGCCCTCATCCCTTCTCAGATGTGACTTAGCAGCAGCAGCAGCCTTCCCCAGAAAGTGGGTACTCTTAGCCGCATTTTATGGAGAAGGACCCCGAGGCTGAGACATTAAGGCACCTGCCTGATACCGTACAAGTGAAAAAGGCTGAACCAGAATTTGAGCCTACAAATGTCTGATTGCAGCATAGCAGGTGTGGCTTCTGTGCTGATCCAAGTGATGTCTCTAAGCCCTGAAGTGGCCCTGGGCTGGCCTCTCTGGTCTCCTAGACCTGCAGGAGACAACTTCTGGGTCCAGGGCAAGAACTTGGATGAAGGCTGACTGCAGCAAGGTTGACATGGCATTCAGATGGGAGCCTGGCCTTGCAGCTGTCTATGGAAAGTCTCTTCTGGAAGTAAACAGAAGAAAGAATTCAACCACTAGTTGTGGCAGCTGTCTTTGTAGGATCTTGTGTACAGTGTAATCATAGCTCTCAGGAGAAAGGGAGGGCTGGGCTTCTGTCATGACCTTTCAAATTTTTTTCTAAGGCAGAAGGGTCTCAATGAATCAACAACAGACAAGACTGGCTGTACTATGAAATTGTGCCTTTTTAAAAAATTAATTTTTATTGGACTGCAGTTGATTTACAATGTTGTGTTCTTTTCTGCTCTACCGCAAAGTGGATCAGTATACCTATTTCCATTCTTTTTAGATTCTTTTCTCATGTAGATCATTACAGAGAATTGTGAAGAGTTCCCTGTGCTCTCCAGTAGGTCCTTATTATTTATATATTTTATATGTAGTGAAATTGTGTTTTTATATATTCAGCATACTAAATTTAGAATCATAGAGCCTCAGGTGGTTGATAGAGATCCTAAACTTAAGGTGATCCATTATCTGGTTGGATTCTTGGATATCTTTTCTCACCTTCTTTGCTGATTGCCATCTCTTGTCTGTTTATTTTTACCTGACCTTGGATCGGGTGAGCCTCAGTCTTGTCATTTCTCTGCTGATCAGAACACTCACCCTCCTATTGGAAACCTCATTGTAGCAAAGCTGTTTTACAGCCAGTTTAGACAATGACCCTGTCTTATCCCACTAGATAAGACAGAGAGAGAGAGAGGTAGACTAGATAAGAGAGAGGTGACTCCCTCTCTCAGGAATAATAAGGCCAACTCTATTCCTATGCATATTTCAAACCTGTAAAGAAAGGCACAACAAAACCCACAACAGACAAAATGAAAACAACGTACAAAATGCACATTCATATTTGTGTGGAATGCATGGTGCCCTTTGGGGTGACTATTCCACAGAGGCTGATGGGGAAAATGAGGTCCGTAATTCAACTTCTCAAAGATGCTGGATGTTTGGTAAAATTAAGACCACTTTATATCCCATCTACAGTGGAAAAGGTAAATGGTATTATTGCTGCTATCAGAGGGCAAGTCAGAAATATAATAGGATTCTGTGATGGGGATTATTTACTTATGACTAGTAAGAATTAAGAGTGTTGAATTAGAGAAGTCCTCATGAGGAAACATACAGGCCAGCACCTCTCATACTTGGGAATGGGGAGTTACAGTTCATTTGGATTCTCAGATCTATGGCACTCTTCTTCAGAAAAAAAGAGATGCACATATACACATAAGTTTGTGTAACATTTTAGGAGGTTCCTAGACCTCTTCTGCATGTCAGAAAAAGGAGCCAGATACAGTGGTCAATGGGCTGCCTTCCTTGTTGAGTCAAGCTAGTCTCCCCAACAGAGTGGGCTTTTCTTGTAGAAACAGATCTCTCTGTCTTCCTCTACACTTCAGCAAATCTCCATGGGACCCCAAATATCTTGTTGTTCTTTTATTCTTTTTCCTTTCTAGCCTTCATGTTCCACTTTGCTTTTCATCTAGCAGCATTCCAGAAATGTCTATGCATCAGCATTGACAATCACAGGATTTGGTGTTAGGTTACAGATCAGGAGCTGTGAAGTCAGTTATGTCTGTCGTATTAGGTTTAGTATTTAGATCGGTATGGTAACTTTAAACTACAGAGTTATTTGTCACAACCATGGTGATGTCACCCAGGATCATTCTAATGGAACTTAAAAAGACATCTCAAAATATTACAGGGATTGTGAAATTTGATGAACTGGTGAAATGAGATCTGAGGCTAAAAACAACTTTGAGTCAGGTAGCTCACTTTCCTGATAACCTTCCTCTTCCGTTTTAAGCCAGCATACAACCTGGTCCAGGCATATCATGCTCAGTAAGATCTTGATAGAGACATGATACTGTAACAAGATACTTCAGGGCTCCGTCTGGCTCAAAGTGAGGGAATAAGCCAGGCTAAATCTCAGCGGGTGTAAAATGCCATCTTCTTGGGGATGGAGGTTGGGGAGGAGCATGTTCTTAGCATAAAGAACATTTCGAGCAAGAGAAGAAAGATCAGTCTGCAGCAAGGAGTTGTCAGGGATTCACATGTGATTTAAGTGAGACTCAGAAGGGTAGTTAGTGTCCAGAGAATGAATCCATCCTTGTAGAGGTGAGATTTTGAAGCTGACTGTGTCTTGGGGTAGTCTTTGATCTTCTCACGTGTGCAAAAGAGAAATAGTTTTACCTTCAGCTCTGAGATCATGTTGTTCAGCTCTTTCTAGTGCAAGGAGCCTTTGTCTGTATCTCTGGACCAGGTCTATGAATGTTTTTCCCAAATTTTGATTGTCTTTCTGTATATTGGTTTTCTGTTGCTACTGTAACAAAGGACCACAAACCTGTAGCTTACAACAACACAAATTTATAATCTTATGGTTCTATAAGGACAGATGGCCAACATGGATCCCACTGGGATAAAAGAAACATTGTCAACAGGCTTACATTCCTTTTTGGAGACTCTAGGGGAGAACTGATCCATTCCTGGCCTCTTCCAGTTTCCAGAGGCTGCCCACATTGCTTGGCAAGTGGCCCTTTCTATTTTCAAAGCAAGACACATTGGATCTCTCTGAGCATTCTTCCATGTTTTCTTCTAACTGTGACTTAGTTCAAGCCCCTACTCCTCATCTCACGATAGGCCAGTAAATCAAGAGATGAGTTGTTAGGGCAAGAAATAGCGATTTTGTTCAGAAAGCCAGCAGACTGAGAGGATGGTGGACTTGTATCCCAAGGAACCGTCTTACTCAACTAAGATGCAGGCTTCTTGTCTGAAAGGAATGCAAGCCTGCTGACACGTTTCTTTTATCCCAGTGGGACCCATGCTGGCCATCTGTCCTTATAGAATCATAAGATTATAAATTTGTGTTGCTGAAAGCCACAGGTTTGTAGTTAGAAGGCACGGTGGTGTGGTTGGTTGGTGCAAACCATTTGGTGCCGGAATTGTTTGTTCTTGCAGCTGTCTATGTAGGTCTGATCATAGTGTTCCTATAAACCTACAACAGGACAAAGGTTATTCTCTTTTTTCTCTGTGTGTGAATGGAAAAGTGTTAAACCTTTAAAGGTCAGAGCCTTGAGAATGGGCTACCATGTTATATTTCAGGCTGTGGGCAACATTCTTTTACAAAAGGTGCAGAGCAAGCATGACTGAACACGGGTGACAGAGCACAAGGTTTAAAGCTAAAAGAATAGATCCAGTATCGGGACAGGTGTGTTCTCTGTTTTAGATTTGGGCAGGAAAGATGTTCTGATTTTAAGGATTCACATGATTAGATCGGGTCTGCTGAGGTAACTCACTGTAATGACTCCATGTCAAGTTCCTTAACTTAATCACTTCTACAGAATCCCTTTTGCCATGTAAGGTAACAAGGAGAGGAGAACAAGGAACAAACCTACAGACATCTTGGTGGGCAGCTTTATTCTTTGTACTTCTTAGGTTTATTTTTCCAGGGAAAATCTCTAAAGCATTTATGAGAATCTCATATGCTACCCATGACCACCCAAAAGGTTTAGACTCAGTCTTAATCTCTTCCTGCCTCCAAGTTTGCTTGTTCTTCAGAATTCCCTCAACAGAGCCAACTTCAGATATTGACTTAGCCCATTCTATCCTCTTTCTTTGCATCCTTCCTCCTATTTAGCATCTCCCCCCATCTTTCTATTTTATTCCTTAGTAGTATGGTGTCCCACATCAGAGATCTCAAATTTGGTGCCCTTCAAGTGTATATAATGTGGAGATATAATTGGCTTGTAGACTGTTTTTAAAACATTTGTGTTGTTCAGTTGCTAAATCCTGTCTAATTTTTTGTGACCCCATGGACTGCAGCATGCCAGGCTTTCCTGTCCTTCACTATCTCCTGGAGTTTGCTAAAACTCACATCTATTGAGTTGGTGATGTCATCCAACCATCTCATCTTCTGTTGCCCTCTTCTCCTCCTGCTTTCAATCTTTCCCAGCATCAGGGTCTTTTCCAGTGAGTAAGCTATTCTCATCAGGTGGCCAAAGTATTGGATCTTCAGCTTCAGCATCAGTCCTTCCAATGAATATTGATTTCCTTTAGGATGGACTGGTTTGATCTCCTTGCTCTCCAAGGGACACTCAAGAGTCTTCTCCAGCACCACAGTACAAAAGCATCAATTCTTCAGGGTTCAATGTTTAAATATCAGAGGTTTTATGGATTTTTGACATTCTTTTGAAATATGTAAAAATGGGATAACCCAG